TGAGTGGGCTGAGCGTGAATGCAGTGGTCGTGCGCCGGGGCCACTGTGGTCTGAGGAAGGTGCTGGCTCCCCACTCTGTTACCGTCCTCAGGGACTTAAGAAACACTGAAACTGTTTGGAGACTTGTACGGCAATTTGACATTGTTGCAACATTTCTATTGCATTTTACAAAAGAATCAGTTGGTCCCAACTTAGGAATTTAAAAGGACAGCTACCGGTTCTTCCCCACAGAGTGTCCTGGGCTACTTGGGGTGAGGTTTGCTGAACATGTGGCCCATGCCAGGCCTAGTCCTCCCTGCTCCCATCCAGTATGTCATGTCACCCGTGCCAGCTTTTGGAGGCAGAGGTCGTCACCCTGCGTGGGCCAGGACAAGGCTCAGATGGGGAGGTAATTTGCCAACTTTGCCCAGCCACTAAGTGACGGGCGGGGAGTTTGAACCTGGACTCTGTCTACTCAGAGCCCCAGCTCATAGCTGCTGCTCCAGCCTTACAATTGCACAGTGGGCTTCTTGCCCAGCTGGACGTGGGGGCGGGCCCGAGGGGGCAGGGAGCTGCCCTCTGCCGCTGTGGGAGGGAAGCTGCTGGTGCCCTTGGCAGTGCTGAATCCTGCTGGGCACAGAGCCAGCCAGAGCAGCTGGGGCAGGGCCCAGATTCTCGGATCCTCAGCTTCTTGGCAACCTGTGTGACTCAGTGGGCTGGTAAAAGGGCCTGGTGGACGGGCAGCCAGAGCAGGGGAGCCCTGCGGTGGGTGAATCAGCAGCCAGAGCAGCTGACCGCTGGGTTGCTGTTCTGCCCGGGGCAGGGCCGAGCCTTAGCTGCCAAAATAAGCACAGTCCCTCTTTGCCTTTCTCCCTCCCAGCTCCCCCAGCAGGGCCTTCCTGTGGCTCCCCTGTTCCCGGGGGTCCCCAGGTCTTCCCAGCCTGGAGCAGGAGATGGGGCCTCCCCATTCGGGTGTGTGACCTTCCACAAGTCACTGCCCTGTTGGCCCTGCTGGAAAGCGAGGCCCCCTGCCCATGAAAGGGCACCGGGAGGATAGACTCACCCTCGGCTCTTGTAAAAAGCTGGAAGCAGCTGGGAGGACCAGCCTCAAAGCCAGACTGCTGTGTGGCTTTGGGTGAGTTTGGTGCCGTCTCTGAGCTTCTGTCCTCAAGCTTACCTGCAAACCTGCCTTACACACCTTGACAGTTAAGTGATACCCACACTGGCACATTTCTACTGTCAGTGAATGGTAGAAATATTGGGAGCTCGTTAACTCTGGCTTAGGCACTGCGTTGGTTGGGGGAGGGCAAACAGGGAAATGGAAGTCAGAATCCCAAGCTGGGCCTCACAGTGGGGACAGACCACCCTCCCTGCTGACAGGGACCCAGCAGCCCAAAATCTGCCTATGCTGCCGGCAACAAATCCACTTGTGATCTTTAAACCTCAGAGTGGAGGAAAGCAGCTGCCTTAGGGACCAGACACCGGCCTTGGCACTGACCCGCTGGGCAGCCTCAGACAAGTTGTTTACCCTCTCTGGGTCTTGATTTTCTCAGTTTTACAACAGAGATAATTACCATGGCTTCATCTGTTTCACAGATGTTGGGTGGAAAAGTGCTTTGTCTCCACTGAGGAGCACCAAAGGCAGGGCTGAGGGGGCGTCAGGAGCTGCTCCTGCCTCCAAGGCTTCTAACTGTGGGCGTTTGCCTTTGGGCCACGGGGTGGTGGACGTTTGCAGTGCCCTGGTCCCTGGGAGTCTCAGCCTGAGCTGAAGAGGGAAGGATGCCAGATGTAGCTGCACCCTGGATCTGAGTGCTTTTCCCGGGTCCACGGGCTTGAGCACTTGCGTGCACAGCTGTGGCGTCCTCCTCACCCAGCAGAGCTGGGCTGGTGGTGGCTATGTGTTGAGTGACTTGATTTCAGGTTCCCAGAAACAGAGGGGAGAGGAGCTGAGCTGAGCTGCCACCTCCGGCCCCCTCAGCAGGACCCCAAGTCAGGTCAGGAGGCTGCAGGAAAAAGGAGCGAAAGCCTGGCCTTGGCCTCTCCTTTCTGCTTCCTGGACAGGATGTCGTGCTGAGTAAACAGCTCTGAGAAGAGTCACCACTCTGGCTCTGAGTCACAGCTCCTAGCGACAGACAGCCACACGGTGTTTGTAAACAGTGTGCTTCGCACCCACCAGGGCCTGCCCCCAGGAGCCTGGAAAGGATGAGAGGACCTCCCCCGATATGTGATGCAGCACGTGCCCCCCCCCCCCCCAACCCCAGAATCCCTCTCCCCACCAAAGGGTTTGAGCCTGGGCTGAGGGGAGCATTGGCACACGCCTGTGCATACAGACGTGTCCGTGAGTGGGGTTTCGCTGTGTCTGGGCTTGTGTGTGGCTGGCCAGGGGCATTGTCCGAGGGCCACCAGGCATGGTGGGCAGAGCACTGTGGGACCGTTGGCAGGTCGCATGACCTCGGTGTCCTGGGACAAGCGAGGGGGACGGTGGGAGCATCTCAGGGCCGGGGTATGTTCCCCGGTGCAGGGTTCACACGGCTCCATGCACAGTAGGTGCAGGGGAGATGGCTGTGCACCCTCCAGTCCTCAGTAGGCCCAGCCCCGGATGTGGTGAAGTGTTGGGGGTGCAGGTGGAGCACCCCTAACTGTCCCCAGAGCCTTGGCTCTCTGTGGCCGGTCTTCGTTCCAGGCGGTGACAGTGATGTGGTGCACCATGTGGTGACACCAGGCTGGCAGGGAACAAAGGCGCCTCTGCTCTCCCCAGGCGGGTAGGAGGAGGGGTGGGTGCGCCCCTCCCCTCCCCTCCCCTCCCTTCCTCTTCCCTCCCTCGCCCCGCCTCCTGGGGCTCCCGCAGTTCTTGCCTGCAGCTGGTCCTGTCCTGCCGCCTGGCTGTGACTCAGGCCCTCAGCCTTCCCGAGAGCTCAGTGCCGGCTGCCCTGGGGCAGCCCTGCTTGGGCATGGCCTGGCTCTGAAAGGAGTGGCCCGAGACTGGGCCCTGAGGCCAGGCCGACCTGTGCTGGAGGCTGGGGCCGGGGAATTGTGGGGGTAACAGGCTGGGAGGCGGGTCGTCGTTGGAGAAGAGCACAGGGAGCCTGTTTGGTGCTCAGGAGCTATGGAAGGGCCATGTGGTGCCTTGCACCAGCCCGTACCTGGGAAGTGCTTGGTAAATGCTAGTCAAAGGCGTTAACCCGCAGACGCCTAACCTGGCAGCCTGAGTACCTATTGGTTCCTGCAACCCCTCCCACTTCCTCCAAGGGCCTCGTGAAGCTCTCCCTCACCCCACACATGCTCACACAGTGGAATCACTCTCCCATCCACTCGCCACCACCTGATCCCTTCCACAGTGCAGGGCCCAGGCCCACCTTGCGCTGAGGAGGCCGCGGCTCAGGGAAGGCCCTCCCCACTCCTCCACTTTATCCCAAAGTTTCGGAGAGCTCACTGGTACAGTACAAGGCAGGCAGCTGGCCACACGAGGGTAAGAGGCCAAGGCTGGGGGCAGCCCAGGCACGCAGGACTGTCTCTCTCCTCGGGGTTCTGCTGACCCCTGCCTCACCCAGGTCTTCCCAGAGTCTGCACGAGATTGAGCTGGGGTAGGGGGGCCTGCTGTGGCAGCCTAGCCTCAGGGAGGAGTGGACCTGAGCCTGGTGCCCTCTCCGGCCCTGGCCGGGGTGTCTTACAGCCTGCAGTGTGTTTGCTGCTGTAAGATAACTAACGTTTCCAAGTTATCCACTGGGACCCGGTTTCAGGGCTGCGTGCTGAGCGCCGACAGACCTCAGACTGCCATCCCGAGCTTGCTCTTGCGGATGGAGCCCAGCTGCAGTACTCCTGGCATATGGACAATACCCGCCAACATTCGGGCAGTGTTTATTGAGTGCCACGCACTGGGGCAGGCACGTGACCGTGGGAGGTGATGGAGTACAGGTCCCCCGAGGGCTAACCACGAGCCAGGCCAGTGCTGAGCTCTTGTTCACTATTCCAGTGCCCTTGTGCCCATTTTACAGATCAGGAAACTCGGGCCCAGGGATGCTAAGTTACTGGCCTAGAGTCCAAGACCTGGCTGATTCAGAGCCTGGTTGCCTCTGCTGTTTCTCGAGGGTCATAGTTAAGTGTCACCGTGTGCAGGAGGGCGGAGATGGCTGGGCAGGACGAGCAGGGGGTGCCTGAGCCGAGGTGAGCACAGGGAGGTGGTCAGGGCTGAGTGAGTCAGAGGGTCCTGGGGGCTGGGCGAGGGGGCAGGGAGAACTTTGGATTCTCTTGCCGGTGGGACAGAAGCTGCTGGAGGGATTTTAGTGCGGGGCAGACGTGCTCTGGCTGCAGGCGCAAGGGTGGGCCCAGGGAGGCAGGAAGGCAGCTAGCTTTGGGGTCCACCTGGAACCCCTCCAACCCCAGCTCCATTCTTCTGATACTCGCTCTCTTGGCCCCTCTACCCCTGGAAGCCCGCCCACAACCCTAAGAGAGCCCCCACCTCCGGGTTCCTAACTTGTGTCCATGGAATCCTTTCTTCCCTGAAAGAGATTCTCCGGCCTGGAGCCCGGCGGTGGGAGTTCAAGGTGAGAGCTCCAGGTGAGGCCGGGGATCCGGAGGAATTTGAGTTTGAAAACCTCTGTACACCCCCTTCCCTCCATGGTGGATCAGGACACTGAGGTCCAGTGAGAAGAGGAACCTGAAAGCCCCACAGGGAGGCAGCGCCAGGAAGCAGGTCTCAGCTCCTGGGCCTGAGCTGCCTTCTGAGCCTGGTCCCCTGGGCCCCACAAAGCCACCGGAAGAGGATGTGAAAGGCTCAGAGAGGCAGAGCGAGTGCTGGTGGGGCTCCGTGTCATGCTGCGCCCCGGCTACCCTGTCAGGGCCCCGGGACCCCATGTGCCTGTGGGCAGGCTTCGGAGCTCCTGACGGCCCCCGTCTCCTCCTGGCCTCTGTGGTCCCACTCGCCCAGCCCGCTGCCCACCAGGGTCCTAGGAGGGTAAGGAATCCGCCCAGCCTCTTGGCCTCTGCATCACGCTGGCATCTCTGGGTTTTGGGATCTGGGCTCTGAACGCTGGTGGAAGGAGTGTCTGTGGGCTCTGCAGAGCTGCACAGACACGAGTCCTGGATTCTCCCTGTGAGATTTTGGGCAAGTCCCTGCTCCCCCTGGGCCTCAGTTTTTCCATTTGTCAAATGGGTGTGTTGGACTTGTTCCGTGACTGTCAATGTCTGGTTTGCAGTGAAATGAGAAAGACTGAGACAAGGTCCTGAGTTTTCCCTAAGGCCAAATGTTTAACACCTGCCCTTTTTCCAGTGGTATGCCTATCTAGTTACTTTTTAGTGGTATCTTTTCTGGAATGATGGTCATGGTGGTGGTGGCGGTGGTGTTATTTTTTTTTACTGTCCTACTTGGCAAAATAAACAGTTAGCAGCCCTAGGTTGGTCCTCACAGTTTAAACTGAAATCCCGTGTCTAGGTGCTGGGGGTGGAGGAGCTCTGAGGACGTAGGGGCAGAGAAGGCTTCAGGAATGAGGCAGTGGCTTCGAGCGAGCAGGGTCTCCTCTGCTCCCCACATTGCACCTGGCTGGGCCCACACCCGCCTGGTGGCCCCGCTGGCCAAGCCCTGTTTGGATCTCGGTGACTTGTACCTGCTCCCTTTCTGGCTCTGGGTGGTAATTTCCCCGATGGCGGGTGGAATGGGGACGGGGCCTCTGGTGTTGGAGGAGACAGCTGGGCCCTCCCCAGGAGAGCAGGGCTGAGCTGGAGCTCCTGGCCCAGTTCAGGACAGAGCCCCATCCACACGTCTTTGGCTGGCCTATGGCCTGGTACGAGCGGGAATTCCAGGCCCTACCCGTCACGGGAGCAGGTATGACAGCCATGTGGTGACACCAGGCCTAGACACTTGGGTGCTCAACTCTACTGGGGCAGGCAGACAGACAGGCAGACGGGCAGACTGGCAGAGGGCCTCCACAGAGCCCACCCCTGCGTGGCTCCCGTCCGCCATGGCCCAGAAGACCAGGCCGGCAGTGCCCAGGGCCAAGAGGGGGTGGGTGTTCTTTGCCTGTGTCTCCGTGGTGACTGCCAGGCGGTCAGCCATCGCGCGCCGTGCCACTCTCCGAAGCCCCACACCCTGGCCAGCACCTCTGCCGGCACCGGCACCAGCACCGGCACCAGCCACCGAGGTGAGTTTCCAAGGCAACCGGTGCCTCTGTCGAGAGGCTGGGTGGGTCACAGCTGGGCCGAAGCCACTGGGGAGGTGGCTTCCCTCGACTTCCTCTCCTGCCGTCAGAACTGGTTGAAGGAGTTTGGCTGGAAGCTGGGGAGTCTCTATCTCCCATTCCGGGTGTGAGGGAGGAGGCGGGGGGGGGGGGGGGCGCTGCCAGAGGCGCCCGAGGATGCCCACCCCTGCCAGCCTGTCTGTGTTTCCCGCCCGGGAGAGTCAGGGCCAGGTGGCTGTGGGTTGTCCTAGCTGCTCCTGCTGCTCTGGTGTTTCTCAGGTTACCGAGGGCTTTCCTGCATCATCTCAGGTTCTCTCCTAGAACCCTGAGAGCCAGGTGATGGTATTATTATCGTCCCCATCTTACTGATGGAGAAACTGAGGCTCAGAGGGGTTGAAACTGAGGCTATAAAGATGCAGAGCAGAGCCTTGAGCACAAACCTAGGCTCCAGATCTTGAGAGAGAGGTTCCCACACCTGTAGGCCCCCTCCTCGGCCACGTGTGCCCAGCGCTCGGCCAGCGTGGGCTCTGTGTGGGAGGGGACCCTCCATCTCTGCCTCTGTTCCCCTCTCTGGTATTCATGTTTCAGGCTCAGTTGGTTTGCAGAGTCTCTGCCTCCGTTTCCATCTGTTTGTGTCCCTTCTGCTTCTCTTCCTCTCTCCTCTCCTGCCCTCCACCTTGGGCCATCACAGGTTGGATTGGTGGCCTTCGGGGGTGTCAGTGACCCCTGGGGTGCCAGGCACTGAGCACTCCGGGAGTGGGGGATGGTTGTCAGAGTGGCCCCCGGTTCCCATTCTGGACGGCGTTTATTACGGTGACCCTGGACTGCGCGTACTCTCATCTGAGTGTCCCCTCAACATGCCGAGAGTTAGAGGTAGGGGCCATGAGCACCCCTTTCTGGGGAAGGACAGTGCGGCCCATGGTGAGCTCAGGGCTGAACTGAAACTCACCATCCTAGTCCTGGGCCGTTTCCGGGGCTCCAGGCCTCGATGTTTCTTGTTCTGGTTGCCTAGGGACAGCAACGCCCTGTGAGCTTGGAGATTTGGGGTGGTGATGATGTCAAATCCCTCCACCCAGTATGGTCTCCTGGAGGTTTAGGTGCTTCATTTCCCGACTCTTGACCATCTCTGAGCTTGGCCTCCAGCCTGTGGGGAGCCTCCCTTCTCCAGAGGAGGAAGAGGCCCCTGGACGTTCCCAGGAAGCCAGTGGCAGAGGAGGCGGGGCTAAGCCAGGCCCAGCCACTGTTCCAGGAGCTCCCATGCTGGCCCAGGTGCGTCACCTGCCAAGGTGTGTGCTCACCCGCCCACAGAGGGCAACCCCAGGACCCAGGCAGGCCAGGAATGGTGACATCAGTGTCAGGAAATGACCAAGGAGCCTGGCCAGGCCACACCCTCCCCGTATCCTCCCCAGGCTCTAAATATAGACCACAAAAGACCAAACAGACAGGGTGACCTCCACCTGCCCAGCAAGAGGTGAAAGGTTTTCCACCAAGGCCTGGGTGGAGCCTGGATACCTGGCTTCTGTTCCTCACTAGGCCACCAGCTCCCTCTGTGGCTTTGGCCAGGCTCAGGTTGGAAGAGGAGATGGTCAAGGCCTGTGGTTGCCCAGACGTTGCCTCAAGCCCAGTTCTCATTTCGGAGCTGCTGCGTGCCTGGCAGACCTCCCCAGAACTGCACCCCAGGCCCAAACCCCTTTCCCTGGGACCCTGGGAATCGGCTCTCCTGTACCGGGCAAAGGGGTGGGTAGAAGGTAGGGAGCAGGCCGGGCAGAAGAGGGGCTGGCTCCAGGCTCTGGGGACTGCAGCGGATCATTGTGAGAGAGGACCCCTGTGTTGCATCTGAGGCCACACCAAGCAGTTGATCTTTTGCCTGAGGGCAGCGCGAGAGGCTTTGAAGGGTCAAGGCCCCTCTGGCTGCTGCGAATCAAGGGGATCTGTGTTAGGATGAAAGCGAGAAGGCAAGGGGGCTCCAGAGGTTTGGCCTGAGCACACCTTTCCCTTCATCCAGAGGTGGCTTCCCAGGGGCCTCTAAGCCAGGGAGGGACAGAAGGCCCACTGGAGTCTGTGGCAAACCCACGAGCACGTGCCCTGGCTGCAGAGGACAGCTGCCGGTCAGCTCCCACCCAGCCTCCTATTGCACAGGAACGCAGACCCGGTGTGGCCAGGTTGTCCAGAGTTACAGGAGAAGCCAGAAATGTGGATTTTTATATGAAATGACCTGACCTTTTACTGTTGGCTCAAACATTGAAAAACACTTTGGAAGCCAAACAAAACATACATGTGGGCTGGATTTGGCTTGGTTCTTGTCCCTGGCTGTCAGCTTGAAAGCTGTCTTTTAAGCTTCCTGTGCAAGAAGCATCCTGACTCTGGAACACCAGTTCGTAGTAACCCACACTTCCTACAGTGCTTTGTGCTCTCTGCCCCTCCCAGCAGACCCTCCAGGGGCAAGGGTTAGCATGGCCTTGATCTTAGACTTGCCCAAGGTCACTAGGCTACTTCTAATCCCCAGCCTCCTCTGACTGCCCCATCTGAGCTGTGTGACTCAGTTTCCCAGCTGCCCGCTGCTTCAGCCCCCAAAGTGAAGCCCCCAGCCCCTTTTGTTGTAAGGATGCCGTGAGTGCCCCTGGGACACAGGAAATGGTGAAGCTGGCCAGGTGTCACTGCCATGGCCCGGGGTCTGAAGATTGTCACCCCCGCCTCCCCCATGGCTGCTGGGAGCCTCAGTGGCATTGGAAGATCAGTCTCAAACTGTGTCCTTTTTCTAAGTTCTATTATGGAAAATTCCAAATAGACACGAAAGGGAGAAAATGACATAAAGGTGCCGCAGCTTTAGTGATCACCCCTGCAGGGCCACTGTTGTTTCTTCTCTGCCCCCTCCTTCAGTGGACGATGTTTACACAAATCCAAAGCACATCGTTTCCATCCATAAATATCAATATGTTACTCTAATAATCAAAATCCCATGATCACTCAAAAAAAATGATGTCGAATATCCAAATATTCAGTAGTGTTCAAATAATTCCAGTCGTCTCTGAGGTTTTTTTTTTTAGAAGTTGCCCCGTTGGAATCACAATCCAAAATGCACGTGTCACGTTTGGTTGACGTCTCTTATCTTTCCATAATTTCCCCTTTATTTTTTTTCCCTGAAATGTATTTGTTGAGGAAACTGGGTGGTTCGTCCTTAGAGATTCCCAGAGTCTGGAATTTGCAGATTGCATCCTCATGGTGTGTTGAACACGTTCCTCTGGCCCCTGTAACCCCCAAATGGAGTCACCTGCAGAGGCCTAGTGGGGTTCTGGTTTAGTTTTTGACAAGAACACTTCTTGAGTGGCTCTGTGTTCCCGGTCGCGGGCGGCACGTACTGTCCTGGTCCCTTCTCTTTGAGGCTGGCCCTGGCCTTGGTAAGGGATCTACCCCACAGCTTTGGAGGAGGATTTTGAGGGGAGCTGTGTGAGAGGGCCTTGCCCTCAGGAGGCACTGCCTGAATCGCAGCCCCTGTCACCAACAGTGGGGCAGAGTCTCCGCCTGCCTGAGCTGGGGACACTGGGCACCTGTGCGAGGTGCCTCACCTGTGCTGGCCCGTTAGTTATGCCCACATGACACAGGAGAAAACTGCCTGGAAGGGGAGGGGATTTGTCTGGGGGGGAGGAGGTCACACAGTAAGAGAGGGGTGGAATTGGGCCTCAAACCCAGGCATTTCAGTGCCCAAACCTGTCCTCTATGCTACAGCCTGGGAACTGGGGGGTGTGCAGCTGGAGCAGTGAGCAGGTTTGCCAGGGCTCTGGAGGGGAGCCCCAAAGTAGGGAGCGAACAGGCAGGGAGCGAGACTTTGAAAAACCAGACAGACGTTAACCAGAGGGTCTGGTTAAGGAAAGGATATACCACCCCACCCCTCCATGCACAGGAGGTCAGATAGTGGGATGGCAGGCAGCCTAGCCTGTGCTGGAACTCCCGACGTCTCACCTCTCCAGCCTACCTGGGCCCTCCCGACACCGGCACCCTGGACCTTCAAGGTCAGAGAGGTGGTGACATGGGGTGCACTCCTCTTCACTCACTAGTCACCTGGCCTGCATAAGCCCCTTTCCAGGCTGTAAAATGGGCCTGAGCTTGCTTCCCAGGCCCCTCCCTGGGAGAAAGAGATAAGGAGAGCAGAGAAGAGATAAAGTGAGCTGCAGGCAGGTGCAGGATTTAGCAAGTTCTGAATTCCCGGAGGCTGAGGGTTTGGCCTCAGAAGCAGGAGTGGGAGGAGAAGCTTCTAGCCAGAGGGCATGTCCAGTGTCCCGGTCAGCCCTTTGTTGCTTTTGAGGACCTCCTTCCTCTAAATGTGCCCCACCAGCCTCGGCCTCACCCTCCCTGGGGGACAGAGCATAGAAGCTTCCTAACCAGCCTCCCAGGAATTTCCACCCCAAACCAAATCTACCCATCTTGCTTTAAAAGAAGAACAAAAAAACAGCATTTATTACATGGCTGTGATTATTAAAACATTTTAGAAAAATTAGAAAATTCCAAGAAGTAAAAAGAAAAAACATACAGCACCACCCAGAAATACCCACCATTACTTTTGCAAAGTGGGTCCCTCTAGTCACATGCACGTGTGTAGTGTCTGGTTCTGAAAGCATATTCTGCAGGCTTTGTCACTTCACGGCTCCAGCAGAGCATTTCCCTTCATCCTGGTTCTCCTGTGCTGCTCCATGGCACCCAGGGGCCTGGCGGTTACTCAGCACAGGGCATTTGAGTTGATTCGGTTTGGCAGAATTGTAATCAAGGTTTCCATAAACATCTTGTACAGAAATTGATGTCCACACCTGTGATTGCTTCCTTAGAGGGAATTCCTAAGAGTGGGATTATCGAGTCAAAGGGCATAAGCGTTTTTAACGGCAGTAATAGAAAGCACCAAATTGTTTTCCGCCTGTCTTTGTCAAGGCCTCGTACCCAGATGGAAAACCACCAGGCGGGTGCTCAAGCGG